TGTTAGGAACGTTTTAAAGAGTTATGTTAGTAAGAAAATGTTTCTTGCACACTAATTTTACTGTTTAGTACAACAGCAAAGAAGAAATGAACATTTCTAGTGAATTTTATAAAAGGTAGTCAGGGGAAAGAATTATAAGCGTCTATGATAACATTTTATGCTTCAAGAAATAAATATGAATAAAGTATAATATAAATGAAACCTATATCATGAGTAAACTCAGAAACGTTATAGAGTACCAATAGTATAATGGATAATATCCATATAAAGAACCTCTCAGTAATTTAAAACATTGAAATATTGACCTTTATATCGTAGTTTATGAATGCGAGTAAATTGATACATAGATTAAAGACTGTTGAGTGTGAGGTATTTACACATTGAAGACAATGGAAGATGTACGTGGACTAGTTGAAGTTAAAGATTATCACCGTTGAATGCCGGTTCACTGCTCTAAAAGTTAAGCATTTGCTCTCGGAGCCGAAAGTTCTGAGTTCTAATCTGGCGTGCGGAATCGTGGATGCTTCTCGATGAGAAGTCCCATACTAGAACGAAACGGCCGTCTAGTGATTCTAGGTTTTCGATGGTGATCCAACATTGATCGGTTGATGATATCAATTAATACTCGACAATCTCCACAACTACATACTGTCTAATATGATCATTCAAAACATTGAACTAATGAAGATGTCTATGTGATTTACAACAATTCAACCAAATATAATTCTGTCACCTACAAAAATATAGTCTGTTGGTGGGAAGACCAATTTATTATTAAATGAAAAATTACACAGTGCCTTCGTAAAAAATAAAAACCATACATTAAATACATCAATTGTACATCTTCCTTCAGTTGTGCTTTACATGTTTTATGATTCCTTCATTTCTGTGGTTATTACAATTGCTCTCTGTTTCTTTTTTTGTTCACTTCAACTCAACCTTCTCAGTCTTCTTCTGACAGACATACCACTTCCAACTGGTGTCGCATACTACTTATATAAATCAATATAAGTAGCACACACCATATATATACGCCGACTGATAACTGATTAGTGGTGCTTATCTAATCTTGAACACTAATATAATTCAATCTATCAGTTATTTTGTACCCATTAAACTGTTTGGCTTAAGGGCTTATGAATTATGACTGGATACTGGTGATCAGTAATATTTCTGACATTCAAACTGATATCTAGATGAATAAAATAAAGTCAATAATAAGGACAAAATTAGAGGTTTATTCGTTACTCCTCAATGTTCACGCTATTTATATGATCAACTTTTCAAGGAAACAGTAATAAAACAGATCGCTCATCAAAAATATGTTTAAATGTTAAGTTAGGTAGCAAGGTTTTATAATTTCATGAAGAACATCAGTTATCTTTCAGATTGTAAATACACCTCTGTGACAAAACTTGAGTGCAAGACATCATTCTAGATATCGAAGATCATCAATTTCCCACTAGAATACGTGATATGATCTATGAGTTAATCTGAAGTTTCTACAAACATTATACTTTGTTTTTTAATACAGTTTCTGTTAATAATGTTACTGATAAAGTATTTAGTTAGTAAAACCTGTGACAAACAGTTTATTAATATATATACAAGTAATTTACACTTCCAACAGATTATCGCTTCAATATGATGATGATGAAACTTTATTAAAGAGAAATATAAAGAGTTGGTAATGTTGAAAACTGTGATCTTTAGAATCTTAGGGTCATTCAAACATAATTAAGATTTTTTTATGATCACAAGTTAAACATAAATATCAGTATGGGGTTGTGGAGATTATTAAGTTTTTGATTGAGATCATAAACCGACTGATGTTAGAACACTATTAAAAATCTGGGAGCACTGAATGGCCATTTCGTCCTATTGTGGGATTACTCAGCAGTGTGCATCCATGATCTTGACTTGCGAGATTCGAATCCAGGGCCTTCGGTCTCGTGCGCGAATGCTTAACCTCTAGATCACTGAGCCGGTATCCAATGGTGTTAATGTCTAATCTCAAACAATCCACTAAATTGCGCGACCATCTTCCATTGTACTGAGGTAGATACCTGTCACTACCCGACACGGATAAGCTTCACTAGTCACGGTTTTTCACTAAAACTTCGAAAATCATCTCATGAAGCTAGTCACTAGTGAGCACATGGTAATTATTAGTATGGGTTTGTGGAGATTATTAAATTCTTGATTGAGATCGTGAACTGATTGATGTTAGACATAAATAATTAATGATCTGACCAAAATTACTATTTTTTCTTTTCGGAGCAAATTTACTATTCAGACTTAACTGAAAATTAATACCCAATGTTATTTAAGTCTATAATCATTATCAATAACAAAATGTTTATATAAATAACGTTCTGATGTTTGGAATAATGAGTTATCATGTATTCATTATTATGAAAACTAACATCAGGTACAATCAGCTGACGATGAGGCTATAATTTATGGACGATCTTTGAGCAACGCTAAAGTGGCCTTGAGAATGTTCACCTATCGACGACTAGTACTAAATGAACGTTTTCAACCTGTGTGAATGATAAGGATTATGATTTAAAGTTGATGGTTAGGGATAGAGGTTAGATCTAGAGTTTTCATCACGAACTGACAACAACTGAAATGCCAATACACTATTTAGCCAAATGGATGAATGAATTTCGTGTCGAAATCCAAGACCTGTTGTTGTAAATCTGATTGGTTCGTCCATAATTTATAGTTTCGCCACAATTGGTATAATTTTCCTTTACAAAAATTGACCAGGCATATAAAAACCATTAACCCTAATGAGTAAATCAATATCAGCTAACAACCCATATTATTCTGGCCATATCACAGAATGACCGTTGGAGATGTTTATTAGACGAATACATATTAATTTCAATGGTTAAGACCATCAAATCAGTTGACGCTAGACCACCATGGGGAACCTGGTAGCACTGGACGGCCGTTGCATCCTATTGTGGGACTCCACACCAGCGCGCATCCACGACCTCGCCCCCTACTAGATTCGAACCCAGGACCTACTGGTTTTGCGCGCAAGCATTTATACACTAGACTACTGAGTTAGCATCCAACGGTGTTAATATCTAACTTCAACTAATCCACGAAATTGAATACATATTGGTTTCTATTCAGTCAGAAAATCGAAAATGTAGTGTAGTTGAGAAATCTCATTGGTTTGTACTTTCATTTCGTGTAAAATAACTACTGCAATTGGTCAGTTTCCATTGAAATAAGTGCATCATTGTAGGATTTCATTGATAGTGTCATCCTGACACAAATCTTAGTCATGTTGATTTATGGCTAATAGTTAGTCTAGGACAAGTACTTTGTTCTAAATCGAAGAAGTGATTTAGATGTTTCTGGGTATCAAAGTTGATATTCACATTGACACTTGAATCAAGTTACATTTGCCTAAAAATTCAGTGCTTTATTCCCCAAGTTGCTATATATCAAATAGTTTGAAGGGGTTTATTTTGTGTACAAAACATTCAATAATGGAAAGTCAGTCATGAACTACGTAAAACCTACATTTACTTGGTATTGTTTGGCTTGTATCTTCCGATTGAGGTTTAAGACTGCAATCGATCAGTCTGTTATTGTCATATGTGAATACTGTGCGTATGCCTCGATATTACCTGAATTCACAAGCTTTTTGTAAGCAATGATGGATAGTGGCTAACAGTGAAAGCAAGTTTGAAGTGCGTTTCATCCTATTTGCAACTCGTCAACTGGATGTACCTGCATCCCGGAGTTGATGGGACTACAACCCAGTACCGTTCGCTTCAAACGCCATGGAGTTATCCACTCAGCTACTGAGTCCTGACAGACACTTGCTCGTGATTAATTGCAGTCTTAAACCTCAAAGGGTAGATACAGGCCAAACAATATCAAATTAATTGAATTCATCCCATTTCACAAGGAAGTGGCTATCAAGACTCAGTAACTGAGTGGATAACTCCATGGCATTTGAAGCGAATAGTACTGGGTTCGAGTACCAGAGTGAACATCAACTCTGAGATGCAGGTGCATCCATCTGACGAGTCCAATATAGGACGAAATGCGCGTCCTAGCCACTTTCCATCATTGCTTACGTAAAACCTAATACATTGTAGATCGGTTTCCGTTGTCATTCCATATCAATGAGGTGAGGTGAAATAGTATCAAAGCGGTAAAAATGATAATAAATTAAACATTAGACTAAAGAAATTGATAAAGGAATTCATAGAATCAAAAGTATAAATTATATTTAAAACTCAGGATCTAAGCAAAACATTGATTTCTTTATCACTATTATGAACAATTTCATTGTGACTGTTTCTATGAGCGTCTCCAAACGCTAGTTGCAATAATTGCTTGAATCTCAGCCAGGTAGCTTATATTTACCATCATGGTTCAAACTAACAACCGATAACTTTATGAATTAATCTCACCTTTACATTGGTACCTAATAGTTTCCTTCTAGCTAATTCTTTTATCGACTAAAATCGCATGTAGGCAATTCCTGAACAAAAGAAATACATGTCCTAATCATATCAGTAAATCATAACTCACCATCTTATCAGTTGATTTCCAATCTTTACCTATTACTGTGCGTTTAACCTCAGCATTGTCCATTTGATAATCCTAGCATACATTATTAACCCTACAAATGTCTTCTACGTATTGGTATCATGTTTTTCAGTCATATAGGCTGACACAGTTAATTACTAAGTAATGGACAAACATGTTACTCACACCAGAAGTGATTTAAATTGGCTAAATTTTATAGAATGTTTGAATTCTGTTACCATGATTACCAGATTAGTTTTCTTTAATGTGTATAAACGTGACAACTACTTATAATAATAATAATAAATTATCAAAGTATTATTTTAGTTACTCTGAATTGTTAATAAAATCAATCATTGAATTGATTCCATTTTCTTTTCATTATTATTTTTATATTCAAGGAATATAGAAAGAGGAAATCAATCAAAACTTACATTACTTCTTCAAATGGTATAGCAAAACACATTTCTCTTGGTACAAGATTTGCTATTGAACAATAATAAGTTTCAATATAAGCAGTCATTTTAATAATTAGATAGATGATATCAGTTAATTATACATAATAAATAACTATTATAATAATTATAAGAATAATGAATAATGATTATCTTAATCCTTTTATAAAGAGATAAATCATGCAATTAGTCAAGTAAACCTTACAAATTAAAATTCTCTATATAAACAGGAATATATAATAAGAGATTCTATAATAAACGTATTCTATACCTAAATATATATGTATTCGTAATAATGTGTAATGTGATCAACTAATATATGTATGTACATTTATTCATATTGTTTTGAATGTAGGGTGACATTGAATATGATTAGAGACTACTATTAAGTGTACTAACATAGTCATAAAGTAAAATCATATGTTTCTACTTTTCATATTTATATACATATATAATACTAGTAATAAATAAAAATCAAAGTGAATGAATGAAAGATGAGTATATATAAAGTGTATTAACATTGTTTACATGTCATATAGAATAATAATAATAATAATAACAAGTATGTCACCATGAAATAGTTATATATCTATATATGTACTACAACTGTCTATGAGACATTGACATTAACAACATTCATCATACTATATAAATGTTTAATGTGCTGGGATATTTACTTTCATAAGTCATTTCATATTTAGTATATTAATATACAGTTTAAGTATAGGTGTTTTGTTTAGTTACTTATATAGGTAAGTTATTAAAGGAACAGTTTATGGATTTAAATGGTGATTGTATTAAGTGATTTAAGATGATTGTTTTTATAAGTCGTGGTGATGTGTTCTTTTTGTTGTTGTTGTTGTTGTTGTTGATTTTATTATCTCATAAATCAGTGAAATAACCATAAAATTGAACTCTGCTGTATTTAGAGCTTTTTAACCAGTTTGATATATTTTATTGAACTGTTATAACTTGTAACCATGTGCCCTATTAATGTATAATGTAATGATATCGGCAATAAGAGAACAGTGATTTATCGAATGATCCAATGACTCAAAAAGCCCGTACGAGTTCTTATCAGTCCTTCTCACTTCCTAGTCCTGTCTGTCAAGTCAAGAACACGAATCTTAGCCACTGCAAAATGAATCATTTATTTCAGACATATTGGGTTTATATACCAACCAAACGGACCACATCGTAAAATAGGAAACAACATTTGTACAAGAATTATCCAACTGTGACTGTGTATGTGGTAGATAATAATTAATAGACTGGGTATAACTCAATAACAGTAAATCGCATAATAGTAGTTCATAGGTAAAAAATAAAGCTCATAATAAAAGGGACAAGCATATGTATAGTTTAGTTATTTAACAATCATACAATAAAAATATATGTATAGTATTAGTCCAAAAATAGATTCCAACAGTTACCATTCATTATTCTCATCGGGACATAACATGAACTTGAGTCTATTAACCAAAATTTACTATTATAAAGACAATATTTAATTCACAATAATCTTCTTTGTGTTAGATATGACGAGAAGAAAACTCAAAATTCAGTTGATTTGCTCATTTTGAGTTTTATTCAACATGACTTCCGTTTTGATGCAATGTGATGACCATTCAGTATAGTATTCGTTTTTGTTTCTCCGTATGATATTTTATTCTGTATAATATACGATATTTCAATAGTTGAAATCATGAGTCAATTCAAACTACACCACCATGGAAGATCTGGAAACACTGAACGACCGTTTCGTCCTAGTATGGGACTTCTCAACAGTGCGCATCTACGATCCCAGCTCACGCAATATTCGAACTCATGACCTATCAGTCTCGTGCGAGAACGCTCTATCCATTACATCACTGAGCCGACCGGCATCCAACGGTGTCAATTTCTAACTCCAACTAATCCACGAAATTGAGCAACTCATCCACAATTATCTTCAGTGAGTTACTGTATTCTTGGTTCGAATCTCGCGAGGCGGGATCACGGATGCGTACTGCTGAGGAGTCCCACAATAAGACGAACCGGCCGTCCAGTGCTTCCAGGTTTTCCATGGTAATCTAGCTTCAATTGACTCACGATTTCAACTATTGAAACTTAAAAAAGCAAAATAATTTTTGTAAGTTAAATGGAGTTGGCTTATCCGTCATCTTCATTGCACGTCGTTTCGCTTCGCACTATTCCATTCGTTTCATATACCAAATGTATGTATTCAAAAGTTCATTCTCGTTATTTGAATTATTTAATTCCATTATTGACTAACGCGATTTAAGTCGATAATTATATATGAGGATAGACAACATATACATTTTAACAGCAATCATTCAATGACGATCATTCATACGATCCATTTTGGAGTCAGATCCCGAGCCATTAAAACTTATCTGTCTCGCACGCAAATGCTTATTCTCTAAATCTTTAAGCCAATATCTAACGATATTATTGTCTAACTCTAACCAATTCAATATTAGTTACTTTGATTTAGGATAGCAAACAATCAATATATATATATATATATATATATATATATATATATATATATATATATATATATATAATTCATTGTAAAATCTTTAAACAATATTACTCTTCTTATTTCATTTATAATAGTAACTATATGCTTTTTTTCTTTAACAAAAATAAATAATCGATTAATTTTAAAAGAAAAAAATATTTTTTTAAAAATCAATAAAATTGTTTAACTTGTTACCATGTTAAAAATAGTTTATTTTTTATACTTTAATAATAAATACTTATACATTTTACACTATAGGATATGAAATAATAATTTTTTTTTGTTTACAAAAAGTCAGTATGAAGTTTGTTTTACGAAAGAAAAAAAATCACAAGTAAAACGCAACATGAACTAGGGTGTCAAATGAATCAATCATATTGTATATGTGGTTGTGTATGTATATATGTAGTGTGTGTATGTATGTAGTGTATGTATGTATGTATGTATGTGTAGGTGTAAGCTCATAATATCACTACTTATAAGTAGCATTTTAATGAATATATAAATATGCAAAAATAAACTGTCCTGAAGAAAAAAATAGTTTCATTTATTGATTAACTGATGTAACATAGTAACATAGTATATTTTTTAAAATAAAATGCTATCATAATTTTGGGGACAGAATTGAAAGTGAGTATATATATATATATATATATATATATATATATATATATATATATATATATATATATATATATATATATATATAGTTATATCAATTGAGGAAGTCATTTAATGCCAAAAACAACTGAGTAATTTACTTTAATGTTTGGAAATCTCAAATGAATTGTTTAATGAATTAATCAAAGGATGGTAGAATAGGAAGGATAGTACTAATATCTTTTAGAAGAGATTTTTTTCAAACTAAAACATACAAAACTTTGTCATAAGTCTTTAGTTTCTAAAATTTCAGTGTCATTTCGGAGAGGGGAAATTTAACAAAAAAAAACGATTTAAGAAAATATAGTTGACTTTTTTCATGTTTTGACACTAGTCGGATAGAAAAATGTCGGACCGTTTATTTCCTGGTGTAGGACTCTAGTAATACATAACCATGACCTATTTTTATTGTTAATCATACCAATACCAATTCACTACAGAAAAACACCCACCAACTTAAATAGTCTCTACAACATATATATATATATATATATATATATATATATATATTGTTTTGACTGGTTAGCATTATATTGTCTACTATACACAATGTTCGTGTTGTTTGATCGATTTCTGTATGTAGCAATATATTCGATTACGTCATTTAGCTACTGTAGTTTATTGTGTTTGTCAGAAACTCATCAGTGAGGGGACTGTTTAATTTTAGGCAGTGGTTTGATTACTACAAATGTTTAATGAATTTGTCATCAAAACACATCAATAGAACAAATACTCCTATATTTACTGAATAATTTGCTAGCAAATGATTACAATAAATTCTTAATAAAATAAGTAACTACTGTTCTGTAATTGAAGAACTTATGAAAGATAAAATTATGAGGATATATTGTGATTAAGGTATAGAGTTCTTCATTATTCTAAGAAAATTGATTACTGGCAAATGATATAGGTACTATGGTGTGTGCTGCTTATTTAGACATAAGGAATATATGATGTTAGTCGTGAACAGAATGTCTGGCAGCAAAGAGATAAGAAGATCGAACAGTAAAAAATGAAGACAGAATGCAATCTGTATGAAAATGCAAGAAGAATGAGGTTTGAGTCATTTGAGACAATTCATGGACATTTTGCAAATTGAGTATTTAATATAGGGTTGTTAAATTTCACTAACAAGTTCTGTAATTTGCCTTCAAATAGATTCAATCGTCTCCACCCCTGTTTTATTCACTACAGTACAAGAAGCAAATGCCTACAAAAATTTACAATATGTTCATCGAGAAGTACACTAAAGAGAAGTTTTAGGAATTGTTTCTATTAATAACTTTATAACATTTGAATTGACTGACGGTTATTCATCTGTTAACTAACATTTATCTTAACACTTACAGAATAGAAAAACAAAGTTCTAGGTCTACCAATCTACACAAATCATGAAGTTACAGTTTTTAAAATTCACTTAAATTATATAACATCAAGAATAATTTAGACGTTTTGATTTTGTTACAAGTAGCCATCTGTGAGAAAATATCCCAGTATTTCTGTCTATTTAATAAATTAAAGTTTTATAAAATTTGATTGATAAGTAAATGTGGCGAGACTATAATTTATAGACGAACTAACCAGATATACGATAACGAATCAGGGGTTTCGGCACGAAATTTATTCATACATTTGGCTAAATAGCGTTTTGACATCATAGCTGATATCATTTCGTGATGAAAGCCCTAAATCTAATTCCTACCTGTAACCATCAACTTTAAATCATAATTCTATTTCATCACGCTGGTTTATAAACCTCATTTAGTCGTAGTTACTAGGTGGAGGATTTTTGAAGGTCACTTTACCATCGCTCTAAGGTCGTCTATAAATTATAGCCTCATCATTTTACATGTAAATAAAGAACGTTGTATGTCATATTAG